ATGGAATTGATTTTACTATTTGTGATGATGAGGTCAATGGAGAATTGCTTGAAGAACTACGTTTTAATGAATCTGTTGTATGATTTGCTTGAGAAAATGTTGTCAATTGTTGTATGTCTGTTATATTCGGACGATTTAATCGTGGTTTTGGGCCAGGAACTATCGGTATACGTTGAAGTTCTTTTGCTCGAACGGTATTTTCTAATTAAATAAAAAACAAAATAAAACCAAAAATAAAGAATTCAAATCAATCTATTATACGAAAATGAAATTTATCAACAAACCTCGATCGTTTTCTATTTGATTTGGTCGATTTTCATCTTTTTTTCCTATTGATGAAATAATCGGTTGTTCAGGTAAGGGTGGTAACTTAAATATTTATTAAATACAAATACTTTCAATAAAATATTTATTCAATATCATTTTTTTTACTTGTCTTCCAGTTAAAGTAAGAGCTTTTCGAATGACAGGTTCAGCATCAGTAATAACATTTTGTTTCATAAGTGATTGTAAATAACTACAATGACCTATTTCTTCTTGATTTCCAACTAGAAAAGATTCATATATAAATTTTTTTTTTTTGGAATATAATTTGAAGAAAATATCAACACATACTTATTTGTCCGACTTGTATTAAGAGTGCAATAAAAAAATAATCAACAAATCCAAAATGTTCATCATAACAAAAGATCACTGTCCAAAGACCTAAGAAGACAAAAAAAATACAATTTATTTTTCAGTAAATTCTTAGTTAAATGCTTGAAAGATTTACTTGGAATAGATTCAAATGGAATTTCTCGTCCGAATAAAAGTCGAAGCCAACGTCTATATAATATAAATTCATTTCATTTAAAGAATAATAACAATGATCGATATGATCATTATTTTTAATCCTAATATTATATGAACAATCAAATCATTTCATTGTATTACTAAATTAAAATTTTAAGACAAATATTTGGTTTGTTTACACTATTCGTTCACTGTTGTAGAATGATGATCAGAGGATAATCGACCATTTAAATAACGAATGATCGAAGAGTAATTCGAGAAAATGTTCATTTATTTTTCAGCCTTTTTTAAAAAGTCTGCTGGAATTTGAAAACATTGGGTTAAAAATAGAATTTTATGTTCGTTGTCAGATTGAAAATTCAAAAATCGGAAAAATGTCGGAATTCTTTTTTCCAAAAGTCGGAAAGTGGTTTTTGTAATGCTGAAATAACTGATTTGTTTTTCCTGTAGGGTAACATGCTTTATCTTGTTTCTGTTTATTTTTCTTCAAAAACTATCTGAAAATATATTTCATAGTCGAAAAGAGGAAAAACGAATTTATATATACAGTTCAGTCATAATGAACAAAACTACACAAAAATCATTTAGTCTCAAAAATGTTGTTTTTTCAAAAAGCTTAGGACTAAGTTCAAATAAAAATAAAATCAAAAGTATAAGCTCATATATACGCATACATCTCGCGAAATTTGTATAAAAGAACTAAAATTTATTCAATATCACGCCGTTTTTTTTTGTTCATATTTTTCATTAGCTCGAGTTCTTCTTCGATACATCACGTTCAGATAAAATATATTTATAAAAATGTCCTCAAGGATAATCAAAATTCATTCTGATTTTCAATTCTGTAGTGACTAATTCGACATTCATATAATTACGATAGTTAGGCTATAAATGTCTCATGTGACTAAGGATGTGAGTGTGGGTGTTTCTAAAGAACAGACAAATGTCCACCCCACCCCACACTCATTCACATCCAGAAGGATGGATTTTTATAGCATTCAAGTGTCTCTATTATTAAGTTTATGACACTACATCGCTCAATAATTATAGGAAAACAAAGGTGCCGCGTTAAATGTGTAATAGCAAGTTATCGTAAAAATATTCTGCAATACTCAAAAAGCCTAAATTTAGAAAAAATTCCAAAAATCAGAAAATCGGAAAGTGATCGGAATTTTCCCTACCATATCGGAAGATCTGGCAAATCTGTTCAGAATATAGGTTCAAAACTTTTGTAGGACTTCTGGTTTATGAGTCGATCTTTTTGGACCCCTGTAAGTTAAGTTTTGAAACTCATATTACTTTATAGAGAATAATTCTGACTTTAATTCTATGCCAAAACAGTCAGTAATATAGCGTATGTAGTAGAGGAGACTATAGAAGCAAAAAAATATCAATTGTCTCCATTTAAACTTAATTTTCAAGCTTGGAAAAGGTCAGCTCATACCTCTCAAATCAAAAGTCCTAAAAAAATCTTGAACCTATACTCGGAAAGAATATAAAATCCTGATTTTAACCGAATGTTTCGAAATTTCTGTAGGCTCCTTAAAAAGAATGTTTCTTTTTTTTTAAGATTTTGTTAACAAAAACATGAATAAAAAATGTTATATCTTTCCTAAATCTCAAGGAACAAATAATTTCACTTGCGTATATCAGCAAAATAATCAAAACTAAATTTTATTATTTTTTTCAAGTTTTCTCTTTCTTATCCTAAAAAAAATTTCATTTAAGAAAATTATTCTTACATGCCATAAACTGTTGGTTCAATATTGAATTCTTCAAGTTTACAATGTAATAAATGATCATAATGTCTTAAACGTTCAAAAATAGAATTCATTCGTGTAACAGTATCATTTGGTGGAATATGTACATCATTCAACCGTTGAAATGGTATTTGTTTTGCACCATTTCTAACATTAACCTATGTTTATATGAATACAAATCATAGAATATTTATTAAAATTAAATATTTTTAATTACTTTATATGTAGATGAATTATTCGTTGAAAGAGAATAAAATTGTCGAAGATGAGCAATAATTTTTTCAAAAATTGCACTAAGAAATAAAAAAAAAAATAAATCAATCATATATATATATATAGAGATACTCGTACTAAGCATCATGCTCAAGATATTGTAGATCGTAGAGTTTTTTCATTAATTCATTTGATTCTTGATATTCATTTACTTTTAAACTTTCCAAATGAATTGCATAAACAACAATGCCAAGAATTTCATGCATACCCTAAATTAATTTAAAAACACGAAATATATTTTTGTGAAACATGATCTTAAAAAGGAATGTTGAAATATAGGAGTAAAAATTCGGACTTCCTCACAAACCATAACACATGCTACTTAGAGACCATCAAAGACCGTGTATATGAATTATTTCTGCATCGCATTTCTCAAAAGATTAAATAAAAGGATGATGACGAAGAAAATTTATCTCAAACAAAGATAGAATAAAACAATATTCCTGTGATTAACAACAGAAACTAAATCGTATTTCATATTTTAATCCTACAGTGGCTGTGTTAATAGTTTTTCTTTTTTTTTTTTACTTGTCGATACGGTGTTGTTTTACGAAGATGTCGACTATGAGTAAATAATATTCGTAATTGAAGATCTATCATACGTGGATTTCGAAAAAATGAAATATCTGGACAACTATAAGAGTAAAACAAAGAAGTTAAATATAAATATAAAGAAAATTAATGTAAATTACGTTCGTCGAACATCTGTTGTAATAGTTGCTTTAAGTTCTTCATCAGAAAAATATTGTGACCATAAACTCTAGAATAAATAAAATATTAAAACAAAATAATTTTTCATTTTGTATTTCATTACATTTTCATCTCGTGAAAGTGGATGATTAAGATTTTGTGTATCTTGATTATTATTATTATTCATTTTATATGGATCAGTTTTATATTGATTTACAAGTTTTTCATAATTATTACGAGATGTATCAAGTACATCATTCCATTGATTTGAATCACGTGGTAAACAATGCAAAAAAATACGCCATAATATTGTTGTAAAATTACATTGAATCATTTTACGATTTAATATTTCTTCACGAATTAATTCATAATTGAAATTATCAAAAAGATATTTAAATTCAGATCTAAGCATAATAAACAATAGAATAAAATAGATGAGAAATTTTCATTAGTTTACAGAAGAGATAATTCCATTGTGTTCATATTATCAATAGATTTAATTGATGTTTGTGTAGATGAAGGTGAAGTCTCAACTAGAAATATAGATAAAACTTCATAAAAAAAAAATATACATATATATGATTATTATTGTACATTCTGAAGGTATAGTTGTTTGATCAATAGGCTGAGTAGAAAGTTGCGATTGTGAGGGAGGTGGTGGAGGTGGTAATCGCTGTGGTCGTAGAGTTGCATGTTCTGTATTAGATTTCATTTTATAATTTGATGTCACCAGAGATACTTCAATAGATGACATACTCAGAACTTTAAAGCTGTCGAGCGCCAACTTGTCTGATAATATGCACTCAGATTTACTATTCAAATGTCTGAAAAAAATAAAAAATACTTTCATAAATGAAATTTTCTTTTTTTTTTTTGTAAAATATATTTTCAAATTTAACAAACGATTAAAAACAAAAAAAAAACATATTATGAACATTTTGTTATGTTTTGTATTGTCTTATATGTTTTCTTGTTTTGTTATCAGTAAATATTTGTCATTTATTCTTTTCATCTGTTGGATGATAGTCACTCGAGAAAAAACGAGAAAAAAAAAGTAAACTCTAACGTTCTGTAGAAGGTCAATGGAAAAAAAATGTTCTATAAAACACAATCTTTTATTCTCAATCTTTATTGTTTTTTTTTATTGACTTTAACAAAAATAAAAACAATAGTTGTTCTTTTTTCATATCTGAAATTTTTGTTAAACACAAAATAATAATTGTTTTCGAATAAATATTTAAATTAAATATAAAACTTTTCTTTGTTTGAATTGAATTATATTTAAGTAAAAACAAAAAATGAAAGATTAACTAAATATAATCACCTAGATGCTTGGATATAGGAAACATAAAACACAATGCAGTAAAAATAAAATAGATTCTTCTTCATCTGACGCAATACAAAAGAAAAAAAAAACCAACAAAACTAATAAATGAAAACTAAAAACATAACAAACAGTTGTATTGCAAATTTAATTGAGCTATTTTAAAGCCAATTTGATCCTGGAGCTCGAGGTACTTTCAACATTTGATGGTAAGTTAAATTTAATGGAATGTTAATTCGAGCACCCATTACATGATTTTTTTCAATTGAATTTAAAATCATATGTCTATAAAGAAAAACAAAGTGTTATCATTTCTTAATATGGCTTTTTTTTTGTTTTATATTTTTATTAAGAAGTTTTAATAAACAATGAATTCATTGTATATAATATAATACAATTATATAAAATCATACTTAGTATCTAAGGTGTCAGTGTGACTATCTTCTATACCCACACCCTGATTATCAAGTTTCTTCTATTTATATTGCTTTTATCAAAATAGATAATGACATTTAAAACATCATTCTAAGTATTCGAAGCTTATAGAGATATAGTTGGATAGGGATCATTTTTCATTGAGTTTCAAAACTTAGAAGACATGGTTTTTTTTTTATTCATACCCGTCTTTATATTGTAAAAACATAGCTGGAATTAGAACTTTGCGTTTAGTCATATCATCTATCATTTGAACAAAATAAGCATGGGCTGTACTATCATTATCCATAATCATAACACCTAAAGCACCACTTTCTTGTGCAAATTCTATTTTTGTAACAAATGAACAGTCACTAAAAAAAAAGATAAAATTCGAATGAATAAAATAAATAAATAAATATATATTCGTATATAATTTTCAAACATACCCACGTTCAATAAGTGCAATATTTCTATTTAATTCAAAATCATTTTGTAGACGACTACATCCTCTCAATGGTTTAGCTGGTATTAGATAAACATTTTCATAAAATTGATTCTATAAACAATAAGAAAAAACTACAATGAGAAATTCAAAATATTGAATTAAACATAAAGCTTGTTATGTAAATGTAACATACGATTAGAACAGAAAAAAAAACGGTTAATTTTGAGAGCTTGAAATTGTTAACTCACAAAATTAGTACTAAGCTGTTTTGATGGTCGACATCGAAATGTATAATTAATATCGGCTAGAAAATAGAGAGAAAAAGAAATTTATATAGATAATTTAAAATTAATAGATACATACATGGTTCTACAACTTCAAAATAAATATCTTGATAATGATCATCATTTTGATCAACGGAATGGATAGTTAATGGTAACAATATTGTAATGATTAAATAGAAATCAATGAAAAGCATAACAACTATTGAATATATCTGAATAATGAAAGAAATAATAAAATTTTGATTGTTTTCATGTTGTTTCTTTTGATAGTTAAATTTTCATAAATTTTAAATATAGTGAAAATTGAAATTGCTAAGGTATTATTACTAAGATACCACAGTTTGATACATCAAAATATTGTTTAATAATGATATAGTTAGCATTGTCGGAAAAAATATTCTTTCATTTTTTTTTTCAGTAGAAATCTATTAAATTTGAGATACCTTTACTATAGATTCTAACAATATATTTCAATCATCCTAATTTGATTTTCAATAATTTATTTTGCATACGCTAATTTTCATATAAATAATATTTGTTCAGAATCGAGTATAATTCGAAATGAAATTAGGATCTCTTTCTTAAATGATCTAAAATAAGTATGTAGAATGGTAAAAAATGCAATCATGTGATTATTGAATCAATTGAATAAATAAATAAAAAGAACCTTGTCAATGAATCATTTCATTTTCAACTGAAAAATTTTCAATCAATCTTACAATTTAATTTTTTTCAAAAACAAAATAAGCAATTTCATTTAATGCGATTTTCTCATGTAATCCAATGAATAAAATATCAAAGTGCATTACTATGCATATGCATCTTATAGTACAACAATAAACAACATGGCCATTGAGAGGAAGCCGCAGATAGATGTTGTGGTAGATTTAGAATCGGTTTCGGAACCGAGAGAAAAACACAAAATTTTTGGATTTGGATACGATAGCTTTTAATTTGAATTCAATCTGTTCTAAACTTAGATTGGAAGTCTACAACCAACTTTTTTGCTATCCAGTATCTAGCACCCTCTGTATATATGATTGATTACAACATCAAAAATTCAACTATTTATTGATTATCCTTAGACAAAAGTCAGTGTAAAATTATTTGAGATTATCCATGTCGGCATCATTCTATTCTCAATGTATTTTACTTTTCAATTAGTTGAAAAGAGTACTATGTTATCTGAAAAGCAAGCCTAACAATTAGTTTGTTGAACATTATCGAACGAGCAATAATATCAAAATCTTCAGTCGCTTACAATAATATTTATTTCTAAATGATATTAAACAAGAATGTGTGGTAAGGAACGGTGACGTCACCTTTTTTTTTATAAATCCGGATTCAGTTCGTGTTCGTACCTGTATCTGGAAGTATTCAGAGTTTTCTATTCATCATAAATAAGCAACCAAGATGAACATAATCGAAAGTTTCCTTTCCGTAAATTAAACTATCGAAATGAATATATTCATAGCTACACTATCTTATTTGAAACTAAGTTTGTCATAAATCAAATCAAACTCACAAAATAGAAAAAAACCTATCGGAAACGAATGATCGACTAGGAAACTTCATTATGATAAAGACTTCTTATAATTGGACGAGAAATAGATCAGAAAAAAAGAGTAATTCCTGAACCGAAAATAGGCTTAAAAATGGTTCCAAACATCCGAAAGTACAGTAGAAATTGATACAGTTATTTCTAATTGTAAATTGAATTATCTAATATTTAAATAACATGGTTGAAACAATATGATTTAGTCCCTCGTATCATTAATACAGAAAACTGAAATCGACCTAGGAATAGTTTTTTTTTTTATAAGCATATCTTAGAAAATTTCAATATTCGTACTTGAGAAAATATTATTTGACTTTTTATGAAACTTTTAGAAAAGATATGCATAATCTTTATAACCATGAAGCATCATCATTTTTTCAAAAGGATATTAAGATTTTTCAAACTGATTTATATAGTACTACCTGGTCTATTTCAAAACTGATAAAACATATGCCTAATTATCTTTGTGTCTATCATAGTATTACAATCATCGCGATAAATATCGATTATAAACTGAACAAAATTTTTAATATTGGCACTATCGAAAGACTTTCTGGACATATATGTATAATGATGGAGAATTTGTTCTACTTCATAGCAAAATACATAGTTCTTCTTACCGAATAAGAGCTAAGTAAAGATAATATTTTAACGTGTTGCACCATATCACATATAGGAATAAATGTGTAATTTGTAAGATTAAAAAGTGACATCAATTTCCCTTTCAATAATGTTTTAGTCCAAAACCAAAGTGATATTAGTAATTCGTGAGTATTGAAAATTATTAAATATTGTTAAACTAACAAATAGAATAGTCGTAGCAATTGTTTATAACATTCTCGATAAAATTACTACAAATACTAGATTTATTTTTAATTAACTATCATTTTATTCTCTCTGGAATCGACTTGATACATGTTTTACTAAGATTTTCTACTATTCTCCTTTAACTATGTGTAAGGAAAAACAAAATCTATATGTTTATGTGAAGTTCTACCTTCATGTAAAGAAAAGTCATGAATTTTTATGATGTAATTTATAACTATGTCAAAAATACAAGGATTGTATCATTTTTACAAAGTCGAATTTTTAATGAAGATGAACTATTTAAGAATAGATTCAAGATTATTGTAAAACATTAATTTTCATAAATTCTACAATGGAATTGAAGTTGTCAAAATTAAATTGTTAAATTCTACCGCATTTTTATACATAACCAAAAAAAGAAGTTGTTTAACAATCACGTTTTTAATATATCGGCATCATTATTGTGTTCATATAATCCTATTATAAGCAAAACTTCTGAGAAAATTTTCCAATATTTCGTTTTTTTTTCCAGTACTGGGGAACATTTTACTTTAAACACACTTATCACAGCATCTTCACCCGCATGCTGTAATGTATGCATATGTAATTTACACCAATCAATGTGAAGTGTGTTTAAAGTAAAAATCTACCCTCTACCTTTCATAGTCCATCTATGAAATTTCGGTAAAGGGTACTTCATTGGCTATTGAAATCACTATTTGGACTTGAGTTAAATATGTAGTATCATAGAAAAAAATATGATCACATGATTATCGAATCAATTCATTTAACCAAAACCAATAGACAAAGAGTATATGGATGAGTCATACTCAAAAATAAATATCCATAAGTTTTTTTTTAATGTCTAGAAATTTCTAGAAAGAAAAAAAAAATCTTTTAAATCTTTTCATTTTAATAGAATATATATATATATATATATATTTTAAAATAAATAATCAAAGTGCATTGCTATGCATATACACTCATAATGTAGAAATAAACAAATATGGCCGTTATTCATTCATTCATTCTAATCATTCCTTTCTCTATCATTTTTTTCAATCTTTATTAGATATGTCGTCAGATAATTCAAAATTATTTTCATCAATTAAATATTTTACAACTGGTTTTCGTGATTCAACTATTGAAACAGAATTCAAACAACATGGTGCTATACGTTCATTTTATTTAACAGAAAAAACTACACATGTTATATGTGATGATTTTGAAAGTAATAAAAGTGAATTAGAACAAGCTATTGAAATTTATCAAACACCAATTGTTACATCAGATTGGATAAAAGATTGTTTAAAATCAAATACATTATTACCAATTGATTCTTATCGTAGTGAAGAAAATAATAATAATAATAATAATAATGAAAAGAATCAAAAACAACTTTTTCAATCATGTACATTTGCTAATGCTAATTTATTAGATGATGATCATAATAAAATTTATGCATTAGCTACATATTATGGTGGTCGATGGATTGAAAATTTAGATAGTTTTATTTGTACACATATTATATGTGCATCACCATTATTAAAAAATTCTAAAATAGGTGATACAAATAATAATCATCAAGAAGATATTGATGAACGTCTTCAAGATGCATATGAAATTCAATCTGATAAAGTTCATTTAATAACACCAGATTGGATTATTGATTGTATTAATGCAAATCATTTCTTTGATGAAACAAATTATCATCCTGATTTACTTCAAAATTCAAATGAATCTATGGATATTGATGAAGATGATGATGATGATAATAATATTAATATACGATCAAATGATGAACATATATCAAACAAAGTAAATAAATTAAATAATTTCTATTCTAAGTTTTTTTGTTTTGTTTTGTCTTTATAGGATATATCACAAACAAAATCTTTTGTATCAAAACGTTCATTAACAACAACAACAACAACTCAACGTAGTTCAAAATTTAATTTAACAAATAATCAAAATGGTCTTTTATCATCAACAACAAAAGAAACTTATAATTCTATATTACCATCCGAAGAAAAATTAATCCGTCCATCAATTTCAGCTAATTTAGGAAATTATAAATCAAATTTACAATTATCACGACATGCACCACCTGAAACACTTTCATATGAATTAAATTATTCATTACAAGATAAACATGAACGTATACCACCATCACAATGTTTATTAGGTTGTATTATTTATATTGATGAACATGAATATTCTATAACTGTATCAAAAAATGATTTAACAACATGGTCACAAACATTAATAAAACATGGTGCTATTATAACTGATGATATAATGAATATAAATTTAACACATTTTGTATGTGCTTATTCTACAAGTGATCTTTTTCGACAAGTATCAAAACGTGGAAGTGTTCGAATGGTTACAGCACATTGGTTAAATGATGTTTTACAAAAAAAAAATTTATTTGTTCCGAATTTAGCTATTCATTATCCATCACCATATTCACCAAATGAACCAGATAAATTACCATTAATAAAATCTTTTATTACAATTACTGGATTTGAAGGTAAATATTTTAACTTTCAAATTCATATAAAATTAGTTACAAAAAAAAGAAAATGATTTATTTATTTATTTATTTTTCTGTTTCTAGGTCTTGAACGTGCTCGTCTACGTTATATGATTCGTTCATTAGGTGGTAAATATTCTGGTCATTTAGGTCGATGGCATACACATTTAATTGCACATGAAAGTGGTACAAGTGAAAAATATTTAAAAGCATTAGAATGGTCAATACCTATTGTTAATGGTTTATGGTTATCAGAATTATTTTTAGGTAATACAAATGCACTTAAACAACCATTAGAAGATCGTTTTCGACGTCTTAGTGGTACACCACCAATAGATCATTTTTCATTTGATCAAAGTTTTGTTCATGAATTATTATTACCATGGTCACAATCAATACGTATATCAGATGATATGCTTAATACAGCAATACGTCGTCATAATGAACAACAATATTCATCATATGATAATGATTATATGAAAAGTTCATATAATGAATCAATAAATCCATTAATTGATTCACAATTAATAAATAATGGTCCATTATTAATAATGCTTAGTGGTTTTAATGCTAAAACATTAAATCATTATGAAACAATAATAAAAACATTAGGTGGTAAAATTTCAACATTACCACATTATACAACACATTTAATAATGAATAAATTTTTACGTACAGAAAAATTATATGAATGTATGGGTTATGTATCATATATATTAAATAAAAAATGGTTAGATAAATGTAATGATGCAAAATGTTTTTTCCCTGTTGAAGAATCTGATTGGTTATATGATGATGAATTAAAACCACCAAGAAATTTATTAAAACAATCTATTGATAAACGTATTAATCGTAAAAATAAACCATTATTTACAGGTTATACATTTTTTTTAACACCAACTGTACAACCATCACAAATAACATTAAAATCAATAATATATGCACATGGTGGTAATGTACGTCGACAATTTCCAACAATAAAACAATTAACAACATATGATGAACAAACAAAAATTCCAAATTGTTTAATTTTAACATGTGATATTGATAAATTATTATTAAAAGATTTACATAAACATAATAATACAGATTTTGAAATTAAACTTTTATCAATTGATTTTGTTCTTGAAAGTATTGTTCAACAAGAAATACTTAATATTGATTCATTTGTTATGAAACTATAACAAATTTTTTTTTTTTGCCTTTTTTTTCTTTTTGGTTCTATTCAATGTAGATTAGTGTAAAATCGATTATTTGTAGTTTCAATGCAAATATTTCTTTCTCACAATTGTATCACATTTGTCTGATATTTGTGTTAGCCTTTTTTTTTCTTGTCTCTTCTCATTGTATCACTTTTTTTCTTTTTTGTCATATACATATATTAAATGTAAAACAAAAAATCAGATAGAGTGTGTGTTCGTTTAATAAATCAAAATGACTGAATGTTTTTTTTTTTTGTTTGTTTGTCTTCTAGATGTTTGGTTTTCCTACAGATTTATTTGGTATGCATGGCGGAAATAATCGTCGATCGAATAGTAATTCATTAATACCACATCATCATCATCATCATCATTCATTATTTGGAAATTCTTTAATGATGCCATCACCATTTCTTGGAATAAATAGTTTATTTGATGATTTTGGTATAAATTCATCACCATTTGCAATGATGGATCGAATGATGCGTGCAACAAATGATGCATTATATCATGGAAATAATATAAATACAAATACAAATACACCAATGCATTCATTTACATCAACAACAGTTATGTCTTATAATGGTACAGATGGAACACCTAAAATTTATCAAGAATCAACATCACATAGTCGAGGACCTGGAGGATTAGAAGAAACACGACAAGCTATTAGAGATAGTGAACGTGGAATTAATAAGGTAAACAATATGCACAAAAGAAAACATCACCTAAATTATCATATAATGGTAAACTATGACTACCAAAGGAAAGTTTTCAACTGATCAATTAAAAGTTATTGAATTATGAGTTGTCGATTATGCTAATATAATAATGTATATCGAGTTGTCTATAAGACAATAATCTTTTCTATTTTTCAAAAATGAGTTTTAAAGTAAAATAATATTATTTTGTTAGTCTAGTAAATCAACATACAAAGATCTAAAGAGATTTCTTATAATCAAATTCGAATTCAGCATAATCAATAACTCATAATTTATTTACTTTCAATGAATAAGCGATTAATCAATTGAAAATATTCCTTTGTAAGTTTGAGAATGATTAGTAGAATCAATAGTTCTATAAAAATCTCTTCTGAATAAAAAAAAACAAAAAAGAAGTTTTTATTGATATTTCATATAGGTACAAATTGGTCATCGAATTGGTGATCGTAAGCATGTTGTCGAACGTGAAATGCATGTTGGAACAGGTCAGATATCTGAAAATGTTGAACTTGAAAATCTCGACGAAGATGAAACAGATAATTTTAAAAAAGAATGGCGTGAACGTTCAACTTTAGCTGGTCTTTCACGTCGTCCACAACATTCTTATCATCATCGTCAATTAGCTTCAAATCGTTTACATCATCCATCATCACAACCACAATTAGCTATTGAACATAATTCTTCAAATAATTTATCATCAAATCGATATCATCAAAAATCTTCTTCAAAAAATATAAATAATTTATCTCAACGACCACAATATCATCGTTCAGATACAATTGATTTAACTGATGATTCACCAAAAATTGAAGAAATTGAAGAAATTGAACAGTCACCATTACCACAAATTTTACCAGTTAAACGTAAAGCTTCATCATCATCATATACAAATGATACTGATATTCAACGAAAACATCGACATAATCGTTTTTAAATTTAAATACAAAAGAACAAAGTACAATTTTCTTTTGTTGTTTTTATGTCTCATCGTTTTTTTTTTCTTTTGTCTTTGTACAGTTAGTTTGATTATTATTATTATTCAATCAAGCGAAATATAATCGCTAAAAAACTTTTTCTTTTCTATTGTGTTCTTCATTTTTTTTTTGATGTTGTTATTATATTAAGACAAGAAGAAAAGAAAAAGAAAGAAGGATCTTTTAATTATTTCTCATCTTTATATATAGGTGCATCTGCTTTTTTGTTGTATATATCTTGAAAGATTAAGGAATCATATTTGAAGGAAAATAAAAAAAAAAAAACCCAGCAGCAATAGGAAAATTTTCTAGCATAAACTTCTTTTCTCTCATGTATGTATTTATTTATTTATTTTCTTTTGCTCGTGTCTATCTTTGTTCAATAGATATATATCGAAAAGAAAAGGATTGAATTTGTTCGTGTTTTTTTTTTCTACTTGTGAATTTTTTTTTTTTTGTTCTTTTTGTTTCACACATTTAAAACTCTAATAAACACTTTGACTACTTATGTAAGATTTCTTTTACATCTCAACATATATTCTTTTTTTTTTTTTTTAGTATTATGCCCTACGCCCACTACAGTAGCCTATTTCATGTATTCAGTATTATTATTATTATTTATCTGCTAGAATAGAACTATAAGGTATGTTTGATTCTTACATCATCATCATGTTCTAACAAGGTCTTATTATGTTCATTGATCTATTTTGCGTGAATTTATTTGTCAAAGAGAAAAAAAGAAAAGAAATAGAAGATACTTATCTATTTGACATCTGTTACATACCTAGACATCATTTGTCCTTGATACAATATGAGATCTTTTCATTCTTTCCTTGTCAATTTTTTTTTTCTCGTTATTTAGTCGTTGACAAGTTTATAAAATATTTCTTCGTAAAAGAAAGAAAGAGAGAGAGAGAGAGAAGAAACTTCCTTTTATTTGTATATACGTATATTGATCGTGCTCAAGGCAATCGCATCACAAATTGATTGACGAGATTAATGTTGGAATAAAAAGAAATCGATTTTTATAATCATCAAAACTAAAGTAGGTTTCCATAATCGCCTCCGCAATTTCTTTCTTTTTTTTTTCTTGTGTTCTTTGTTCGGTTACTCATATTATGACGATGATGATGATGATGATGAGAATGAATCATTTGTGATTATTCTTTTTTTCTGATTTGAAGCAAGTCATCGATAAAGGGAACAGCAAAAAGAAAAACATCAGCATTCTTTATAATACAGTTATATTTTTTTCATTCTACTTGTCTCAAGCAGCGTAAGACAAATAAAAATTGTATAGATTTTTTTTTGGTTCGATATTCCAATTTGAATCATAATTTACCATGTCAGCACAATCATCATCATTATCATCTGATTTAGATTATGAAAAAACAACTTGGTTTGTTAATTTTATATAGATTAAAATAAAAGAATAACAAAAAAGTAAATTTCTATTATTTTTTTATTTTTTAGTATAAACATGAGTTTTGGTTTATTTCGTAATTTTTTATCAAAAAAAACTCATCCACAAATATCTGAAATTTCAACACCAATAAGTGTAACAAAAAATATTCATGTATCTTATGATCCACAAACGAATACATTTCATGGTTTACCAAATGAGTGGGAAGAGCAAGTAAAAAATTTATTTGCGTAAGATTGTACTTTGTTATAGTTATCTAATCAATATATATATACATTTCATCATAACAAATAATTTAGTCACTCCAAGCCTGAAGATAAAGCTCGAGTTATGACTTGTGCACTTAAAGTTATTCAACAAACAATTCGTGAAAGTCGTGAGTATTTTTTTGTCTTGTTGTTTTTTTAATAAAATAAATTTAATAATAGGTAATCCAACAAAACATATGCGTATTCAAGATAAATTTCATCCCGATGGAATATCATATGAATCAGGTGATGAATTAAGTGAAACGGAAAGTGATCTTAGATCATCACAAGAAAGATTAAATGGTAATGGATCATTTTCATCACCATCTACAGATCCTTATGGTAAGGACAAATACTTAAAAACAAAACAAAAAAACAATATTTGAAATATTTGTTTTTTGTTTTCTATAAAGCTAATCATCCTAGTTCAAAAAAATATCCTCCTGGTTTCCCATCTTCACATATGAATACAAATGTAAAAATTTTCATTTTATTTTTTTTTTGTTTTCAATAAGAAAATATTCAAAATTTTATTTTTCAGCCATCTACAAATTTCTTTGAAGAACTTAAACGTGCTACAACACGTCGTAAACAGAGTATAGAAGTACGTGTTGATAACATATCTTGATATCGAATAAAATATAATTGTCTTTTTGTTAGATATCTAGTAGAAAATCTGATGATGAAGATCATTCACCAGAATCTAATACATCTAGTAATTCTCATCCGACAACACCTATATCAAATCAACTTCGAGAAGTTGGTGTTAATAATCTTGTCTATCAAATTAATCGTGATACACTTGTTAATGAATCAATTGATAATATTCAATATAATGAAAATCTAACGACATCATCATTGATAAAACCTACTCCTATGCAGTCTATTGTTCCACCTCCTATTCCGGTTCGTAATCATGTTAATGATGATATAACAGTAATAAATAATAATAATAATAATAATGGAAAATCTCGTAAACAAACTGATCAACCACCTGAATTACCACCGAAAACTACTCGAGTCATAGCTGCAGCAAGTAAAATAACATCTCCTATTCATCCTATTATATCTACAACTAAAACAAATCCAATTGTTAATAAAGAAAATCATCAAATAGTTACACCACAAACTGAACCCATATCACCTACACATCAAGAAAAACTTGTTGCACGACATAAATTAAAAAATAATCGAAGAAAAATGTCAGAAGAAGAAGCTATTAAAGAACTTGGTTAGTAATCATACAAATTTGTTTGTTTGTTTTAAAGTAATATTCTCATTATTATTTAGAACCAATTGCTGCTAAAGATGATCCAATGACAAGATTTATTATAAAGAAAAAACTTGGTTCAGGGTATGAATGAAATTTATTCGTTTTTTTTTCTTTTGTTAATTTTTAAAGTTATATTAAATTTTATTTTTCTTATTATTATTAATAGTGCTGCTGGTGATGTTGATTTAGCACTTGATACAAAAACAAATACAAAAATTGCTATAAAACGAATGCTTTGGTCAAAACAACCACGAAAAGAATTAATTGTTAGTGAAATTCGTGTTATGAAAAATTGTCGATTTCGTTCAATTGTTAATTTTCTTGATTGTTATTTAAGACCAAGTGAATTATGGAGTATGATTTTGTTAATTTATCAATTTTTTCAATATTTAATTAATATAAATGATTTATTTTTAGTTGTAATGGAATATATGAATGGTGGACAATTAACACATATTGTTGAACAAACAGTACTTGATGAAGGTCAAATGGCTGCTGTTACAAAAGAATGTCTTGAAGCACTTCAATTTCTTCATAGTAAAAATATAATACATCGTGATGTTAAATCCGATAATGTTCTTGTTGGATTTGATGGTTCAGGTATAAAAAACAAAATTCTATAAGAGAATATTTATATATATATTCGAATTTATTTTCAATATAGTTAAATTAACTGATTTTGGTTTTTGTGCTCAATTAGCGAATACTGAAAGTTTACGAACAACAATGGTTGGAACACCTTATTGGATGTCACCAGAAGTGATTAAAAAGTAAAAATTTTGTTTATATTTGAATTATAATTTAAAAAAAAAGCTTTTCTATTCTTAGACTTAAATATGATCGAAAAGTTGATATATGGGTTAGGATTTTTTTTTCTTAATCTTTCATATTTCTATTTTTTTTTTTTGTTTTTAGTCATTAGGTATTTTAATGATTGAAATGATTGATGGATCACCACCATATATAAATGAACAACCATTTCGTGCTATGTGTAAAATAGCAATGCAAGAAGAACCACCAACAATAACTTCTGAATCCCAAGCACGTGTATCATTTGATACAATGAATTTTCTTAAACGTTGTCTTACAATTGATCCTCAACAACGTGCAGATACATATGAACTTCTTCAACATTCATTTATTAAACGTGCAAAACCACTCTCATCACTTGTTCCAAATATAAAAGCTGTTTGTAAGAATGATAATAATTAAAACAAAACATAAATTTCTTTTTTTTTTTCTGTTATATTGTGCATATTTTTTTCCTTGGCTTTCATCATAGCCATATTTTTCTAATGTTCATTACAATGTTTTTTTCTATAGTCTATCTATCTGTTGAAAGGAATGCATTTGTTAAAAAAATACACACATATATATATATATATACATATATAACAACATTATATTAGCTAGTTTAATCGTATCATTTCTAATTTTGTTATTTTCTTCTTCTTCTTATTATTATTATTTATTCAATGATAACGATTTGTTACAAGAAAAAAAAATACTAAAAATATAAAAATCTTTTTTTTTTCCTATGTTTATTTCATACTGAACTTTTCTCAATTCTGTGATTTTTATATATGTATAGTTTTTCTTTTCTCTTTATTTCATCGAATACATTCAACTTGCATAAAATTTTCATTAGCATTCGGTTTATAATATTTGTTTCTCTCAAAATATAATTCTCTAAAATTAAAGAGATAAGCAACTATATATATATATGGTTCATAGCAATCTTTCTCTTGTATTTCATCCCACTGTCAAATAATGTTGTTATTCTTTGTCTTTTCTTTTTTTTTTGTCAAAAATAAACTGAAACTTATTATATATAAGATAGACAATGAAATTTTTCTAAGATTCATTTTTGTAGATGTTTAGTTTTAATTGGAATACAATTGATGAATCGACGTGAGTTCAAATATATATATATATATATATAAAGAATTTATTAATAATGGATGATCGAAAAGTAATTAGATAAAATGTTCATTTCATTTTTCAGATCTTACAGAAATTTGAAAATATTGAATTAGAATTAAAATTTTGTGTTCTTTCAGAATATGAATTTAAAATTTTTGTAGAACTTCTGGATCGAGAAAACTGCTGTATTTTGCTGCTATAGTCTCCTTTACTACATACACTATATTACCAATTTTGTTTTCATAGAATTAAAGGTAAAATTGTTCTCAATAAAGTGATAGAAAAATTAAGAGTTTTAGAACAATCATTCAGCTTAGTTTAAAAGTCTGTTTTCTATAAAAATCGAGAAGATTACCTAAATTGACATGGTGTCTCTTACTAAAACACTTATTATTAACAAATACCTTAGAGATAACTAATTATTAATATGTTATTTTTATTGAAAAATGTTTGCTTGTTCGTTCGCTATATTTGAAATAATTTTCACTTCTACTTTGGTTAAGTTTTAGCGCGCTTAAGTTCTTCCAAAGTTAATTTATGGACAAAGTCGATTCATAACTCCTAGACCTGAAATCTTACAAAAATGTTGAATCTATATTCGAAAAAAAAACACAAAATTCTGATTCTAATTAAGTATTTTCAAATTTCTGGAGGCTCTTTAAAAAGACTGAAAAAAATGAATGAATATTTTGTCGGATTCCTTTTCGATCACCCTTTATATGAATATATATATATATATATATATATATAAGTAATTATTAGATTTCAAGGGTATTTGAATAAATATACAAATGCATTTAAAGGATATCAAACACGATATTTTGTATTAGATTCCGAGACAAAAAGTTTACTTTATTTTATGGTATATAATTGATTAATTGTTTTGTTTTTTTTTTCAAATTTTATTAAATTATTTGATTATAGCCAGATGAAGTTCGAAAAAAAGGTCCAAGAGGTGTAATTGATTTAACAGATTGTTGGATATCACCATCGAATGAAGATGATGTTACTTTTACTTTACAAATAGGAAGTGGTGATTCATTTAAATTTCGAGGTATATTTAAAATTTCTAATTAAATATTTTCTATAAATGTTTATTTTCTTTCTTTAGCTAGTGATGCTAAAGATAGACAAAAGTGGATTGATAAATTACGAGTATGTTCTGGATTAAAAGCAGCTGATATTGTAAGTATTAGTAGTTGTTTTAAAGGTAATAAAAAAAATGTATTTTTCTCTTTTGATTTCTTAAGTTTGTTTCATCATTATCATCATCAAAATCTAATTTAATTAATTTATCATCATCTCCAAATGATGTACAAACTCGTTCATCAAATCGACGAAATTCACAGTATACTTAATGGATATTTGATTTTTATTTCTACTTTTTTCTTTTCCATTTTATAGAATCTATCATCATCAACAAACTTTAAAAGAAATGAAAGAAGTCATACAATGTGTTGAAGTAAATCAGCGAGAATTTGTCGAAACAATAGAAGTATATTATTTTATTGAATTTATTTTCGTATATCTATTATTTTATTATTTTAGGCAATACCAGATAGAAGTCATCTAAACTCATTATCTAAAGTATATAAACAAACAATTAATTTGATTTTTTTTTTTTTTGTAATTTTCGAATATTAGGATATGTTACTACTTCGTTCTATATCTCAATCATGTATACATTCATTACAAGACAGTTTGATCATACTCACTCGAAGACGGTTTAACTAAATATTGAAAGAAAATGAAACACTAAAAAAAAATATGTTTTTTTTTTGTCTATTTGTACAGAACACCTGACACGGAACCTCTTTCTCTATCTGTACCTTCACCTCATTCACCACAATCAACAATGTCAAATCTATCCGGTAAACAATTGAGTCAATCATATAATAGTGGTACTAGTGGTAAATCAAATTTAAGTACTGGTTTATCATCACAATCGAATTCACATTCTTCCTTGAGTAAAACATCAAGGTATGAACAATTAATATTCAAGAGATTTATTGTTTGTTATCTTCTATATTTTTTGTTTATTATTTACTATTTGAGATAATATTAAAATTAGATTTCTGAAATCGGAAAGCTAATAAATGAAAGAGATATAAACAAATAATGAATTATTTTAAAATTTGTTTTTCTTTAATCGTTAATGACAATAGAAGATATATCCTCTATGATTAGAAAAAAAATGAATATGTTACTTTTAGCTTGAATAATTTGATTGTTTTTCCTTTGTTTCTTGTAGTTATGTTGTTATTTGTGTGTTCCTATTGTTAAAGTCTCATTGTGAAAGAAGATTATAACAGAAACTGCAGGTTTCTAACTTTTATCGATAAGAAGTTATTTAAAAACAGCTGTAGAATGTTTTCTTTGACTAGCTATTCGTTTGAATAAAGTTTTTATCATAAAGATCATGTTATTTATGAGTTCATATTGAAAATAGAAAAATCATTTTTTCATGTTACTCACTATGAATAAGTCAAAAATGTGATCGAAGTTGTCATGAAAAATGTTGTTTCACATCGGTAATCAAGAAAGATTTAGAAAACTACTGTATAATTATCAAATTTCTTTTCGACTAGTGAATAATAGAAAAGTCTAGAATGATTTAGCTTTTCGAATCTTCACTCTTGAGATATCGAAATTTTACTGAGTTTTTCCTTTTTTAATATATGTTTTATTTTTTCTCTTATAGTCTCAGTGGTCTTAGTCAATCACCATCGCCGAATGATACTACATTATCAATAAAAAACTTACGACGTATATTAAAATTTTCTTTTATTATTAATAATTATTTAAAATTCTCTTTTTTTTTGTTTTTTAAATAATAGCTAATGTTGGTACTCCGATTAGTACATCAGATTCATTACAGTGAAAACATTATTATTATTATTCTTAGTGATCTATTCGTTTCACTAAATGTACATGATCGATTCTTCAATTTAACGAGTCTTATTTTAGTCCATATTGCAAAAAAAAAATATATTATTTTTCCACAAAACGAATATATATGTATACATTGTTTTCTTCCATGTTTTTTTTTCCTTTCGCAATAAACTCCAGCTTAATTTTTTTTTTTATACAATAATATATATCGATAATCTTTTTTTTTATGTATTTGTTTTTTTTATTAGATGCCAGGAACTATGACTGAAAATGAAAATCTTTTAAGTCTTATTTCAATTGAAGTACTTATAAGTCAAGTTCATATTAATCTTAATATTGAATGTCATTTACCATGTATAGTTTTTCGTTTACTTGATTATCCAGCTGTATCAATACCTTATTTTGATCAATGGCAAATTGATGAATTTCATAATTTAAAACGTGATTATCCAAATTTATCATGGTGTCAATTACTTTCAGATCAATTTTATGAACTTCGTAGTGCTAATGGAAAATTTAATTTTAAACGTGGAAAATCATGTTTATTTAAAATTTATTTTAAAACATTATATACACATTTATTAAATGTTCCACTTTTTCTTTTACTTATTGATCAAATTAATGATAAAGGTATAAATAATAATACAACACAATTTATTGGTAGTTGTAATATTAAATTAAATGAATTAATTGAAATATTAAATCAATCAATTATTAAAAATGGTTATGATGTACCACTTGTTGAACAACAAACATTTCATTGTACACTTTTTAATTTAATGGGAACATCTATTGGTACTTGTGATGTTGCTATTCGTTTTTGTCATTATGGTACAACAATTTTAACACATTTACCTATGCTTGATGATGAAGTTGTCGTAAAAAAAACAGATAAAAAGTAAGATTAACAAGAATTCTATTATAAGATGATCTAAATCTGTGGTTCATCCACGATCGAAAATTTAACGAAGATTAGTTTTGAATATAAAGTATACTATTCGATACAAATTTTTATGTTGATTCTAAATATAATATTTGTTTGTTTTGGAACGGAAATGTTCTGATCATGAAAACCTCTGTATATATCAAAGAAATCGAATTTCTCCAAATATTGAAGCCACCAAGGCTTGATATTTTTAAACCTAAGTTTCATTACAAGATTATCGTTTGAATATGTCAAAAAAAAAAACATAAATATATAATCTCGTCTTTTTTTTTGTTTTGTTAGAGTTCCGACTGCAACTAAAGAACAAGTTACTGAATCATTAGTACCACCACCACCACCACCACCATCGACAGATACAATTGTTAAACATATTCATTTTGTTAATGAAAAGAAAGATGTTGGTTTACAATTATCACGTAGTGATCTTCCATCATCATCAAATAATAATAAATCGGCTCAAACACGTTGGACAAGTACAAAATCTCATCCAACTGGATATTATCATTCTAAAGGTCGATATTTACGTACAATTGAAGATCCATCACTTGATGATCCATTAATTTCTTCTTATCAACCACCACCACTTTATTTTAATTCAAATTCTGATTTTCTTCAAATGATGACACCAATAAATGCTAAATATATAGATGAAGCAAAAGAAAATCGTTTATCTTATCTTGCATCAATTCCTATTGATAGTTTTCATGATGAATTTGATGTTGATGATAAAAATGAAGATATTAATAATAAACAACAACAACAACAACAACGAAAATCAAAATCTACACATAATGTTCGTTTTAATTTATCATCATCATCATCACCACCACCATCAGTAGTTATTCCTCAAACAAAACAAATACCAAAAAAACAATTATTAACAAAAGATTTTCTACATAATTTTCCACTTCTTCGTGCATTAGTTGAAGAAGCTTTAACTTTACAAGAACATCAACAAAATTTACCTATATTAATTCAACGATCACATTCAGCTGAACAAAAACGACAAGTAAAATTAAAACAAACTTCAATACGACCTAAATCAACAACAAATATTCGTTCTATTCGAACAAAATCTGTTATTGTAACAAGAAATATTAAAAATACTAATCGACTTTATCCACCATCATCCGATAATAGAAGACAAATGATAGTTACAAAAACTGATGTACGAAATTTAGTTGATCGTCTCTCTAAACCAAAATTTAATAAACGAATTGAACGAGAAATTGCTTTAGCTGAACAAATGACAACTATTGAAGAAACTATTCCTACTCCACGTCTTCCACCAAAATCAACATCTGTTCAAGTATTTCATTTTTAATCTCTGCTTTGTTTTTTTTCTACTTATGATCATCTCTTTGTTTTCTTTTCTAAAAGCCGATCTCTACGTATAAAAATATAATCATACAAAAACCACCATTTTCTTATGGTACAACACGTGCTCATCGATTATATACGGAATTTTCTCGAGCTCGTCGTGCTGCATATGAAAGTCAAACAGATACACGATCAAAATCTCCAATATCACCACGAAAAGAATTAACATCAAATGATCGTATTCTTCCACCATCACCTCAATTACTTAATACGGGCACACTTTCACATTTTTCTCTACTTAATAAAGTTGATATTGATAGTGCAACTATAGATAGAAATAGTATGCAACCATCATCATTAGAAAAAATACAAGAAAAACCTGATCCAACTATGAAATCATCATCAACAACAAGTCAAGATGCATCAAAAGAATTAAGTCGATCATCATCATCATCATCATCATCATCACCACCATCACCATCACCATCATCTGAACCAACAATATCTCAACGAAAACAAGAAAATAATGAAAAAAATGATTTAGGATTTTCAATTACTGATGTTACTGATTAGTAAGTTTGATTTAATTTCTTTTATAAGTTTTTTTTTTGAAAAATTTTTATTATAGTTTTACTGATGGTGGTAATGACTCGAGTACTCGACCATCAACACAACAATCTACATGATTTCATTTATCATATTTTCGAAATAAGACTCAACGTCAGATTGTTTTATTCAATTCGATAAATTTATCCGTCCGAACAAATATATAAAATATTTGTATTAATTTCAAATTTTATATGCATAGCTTTTCTGTAGTGCTCAGAATTTTAAATGTAATGAATGGGAAATTTTTTTTTTTCTATACAAGATATCTATCAATAAATTTTTAATAATGCTTTTGCAATTAAATAATATTTAATGTAAAATTATTCATTATTAAATATTTTCGATTTCGACTTGAAAATGTGATTTATTGTGTTATAAATAGAAATGTATGCCGATACAAAGCACGACATCCATAACCAACCTATTCAAGTGTTGGTAACGGCTGCTTAGTCAGTAGGCTTATAGATTATTCCACTATGTATATCTTAGCCACGAATTAGAATGTATACATTTAGATAATGATGCTTCCAGTTCTTTGTCTGTCATAATATTAATTAGATTGTTTCAAACTGATTTCATTTTTCAATTTATCATGTGTACGCTAGTCTTTGTAATACTTTTCATAGTTATTTTTAGATTGTATTTACTAAGTTAACTTGTTTGTTTATTGACTGAACCGATAAAAATAAAGAAGTAAACATTTCGATTCGAGTTATTAATCTTATAATACAAAATTTGCTTTACATTGATATTTTTCCTTTTTGTTAGTTCAGATTCAATTATGAGTCAACAACACAAATGATTCTCTAATCATCATTGATGTTTCTCCAGAACAAATTGTAAATCTTAGGTCTATAATGAACGAGAAAAGATAAAATTGCGTAGAAATAAGCACATTTATAATTGATATGAGACGATTAATCTTTTCGGATATATTTCGATAGAGGTTGTCAACTTACGTGTGAAGTATTCCAGAAAAATTGATCAAGATATAACATTAAGAAGAAAACAAAATGTATGAAATGTGTACTTCAATCTTAATAATAGACTCCATGAAAAACTTCGAGATCATTGATGTCGATCCATTACAGATCATGAGAGAGCTTCTAATAATTATTTCAAGAGTTCTTTTTTAGCTCAATGTAAAAGTAATCTTAAAAACGATGAAAAACCTGCCGGTTGTTTCGACTCTTGAACGAATTGAAGTAATGCAAAATTGTATGCATTTGTATTTTTTGTTTCATTAAAGTTTTTCTTGCAACAATCTCTTACGAGTGGCCATCTATACGTCCGAATGCGGTTCTATTTAGAGAGTTCACGATATATGAGGAGACGGTCGACTCTTGTCGCAGAAACTGGTGAGCGAAAAAGCAAAGAAAATTGTTCAGTTTTGCTGAGGAGAAAAGGAAAATTTTTCAAAATTGGGTGGAGGGGTCATCCCAAGGGGGAAACATCATACTTTTGTAATTTGAAGTACGTAAAGTACAAAAGTACGATGTTTCCCCCTTGAGCGCATCTTTGTTATTTGATTGACGTTCAAAATAGCCTTTGCTAACTAAAGCTTCAATGCATTTCTATAATTTTTGATATTAACCTTCAATATCTTTTTGTTCGATTGATTCTAATAATGGCACATTTAAATTTATTTTTATCTTCTCTTTTTTTACTATTACGAAGAATACTGCTATCATCATTGAGGTGGGCACTAACTCATACCAGATAAAATCATTGCGAGCAGAACTAATATCTGGTTTGTGTATTAGTGGTCGTCGTTGAGTATCGGTCGGATCAATAAAATATGAATACGTGCTGTTTATCTGAAAAGATAGAAAAAACGTAGATTAAAATGAAATCAATTGTATTTACACGTCTATACACATCACATTGGGTTTGAGTACTATTGGTACTGACCATACTTCAAATTGTTGTTTCGTGCTGTTTCCATTTGAACTGACTTCGAAAGAAATGAGAAATGAACTATTGATAATGATCAATTAAGAACTTTTGTCTTCTTGAGGATGTGAGATAATTTGATCAATATGACAAATTGTTCTCAAAGAGAACTTTTTCATATCAAGTTCAGACTGACAATATTCGAAGTATTGTGTCGTTATCATGACAATCATGTTGAGTAAACCAACAAAGAAAATTGTCATGCACACAACAGAAGCAACTAGTTGCTGCGTTTCTCTTGACAAAGGATAAAATGATGTCATTTCTAGGAAATTATGTGTAGACTGACTCGATTTGATGATGCTTTTTGTTTTATTTTTAAAAGAAAGTAGAAGAATGAACAGATAAAATCAAGCAAGACATTCAATTCATTCGTGTGCTACATATACATACCAGCCGGTTTTTTAGCGGAAACGGTAACGACGTAAGAAACTGAATATTTTTTGACTATGGGTCACTCAAGGCGTATTTCTTATTTTAGAGGTCATTGTATAGAACGAAAGTCACTATCTAAACAATATATTAACCCAAGTTTGGTATTTGATTTCAAGGCTACATTTTGTGTCAGCCGTCATTTTAATATAGATTAAAAAATTATACTGATCACATTATTTACAGATCATCGTGCTTTGTGATAGTTTAACACATCAGATAACCGAAGGCTATGGGTTTGCGTGTGGTCTTCTCCTTAGGCATAACTGACATCCTACAATTATAACATATCATTGAAAACCTGTTTCAAATACTGTCAATTCATTTCAATTATTGCTTATCGTTTTATGTTATTGATAATTTTCTAAAAGATCACATGAATTTTTTTGTCTTTTTTTTAATGTACTGTATTGATTATTTATTCAAGAGCTAGTATGTTTACATTAGGACTTATAAATATGAAAAAAAACAGTTTAACAAGTATACAAGATTGAATTTTCTTTCGAAATATTTCATTGAAGTCCGATTTAACGAGTAGACCAAATCTAGGTTAAAAATTTGTGCAAGACTCCTATTTTAGAAGTTATGAAAAAATCTATGAACGACCTAAAAATAACGTTGAGATGGATTTTAGAAAGTAAAAAAAAACGTACAGGATATAAATACAATGAATTTCAAATACATTAAAAGAAAGAACAAGCATTTCTCTACGAAATAATATTCTGACTATTAGTTTTTCATAAGGTACCTATCAAAGGGTGAAAATTTTCACAAGAGACATAATGATATTTTGCAACGTCTTGATTTTAAGATTCACAAAAAGCACTCCATCATTTTCTTGAGGATTATTTCGAGAACCTCAGATCTTAACGTACTTTGTAGAGGCCAATCTCATCCATCATACTATGCAAACAATGATTTACAGAACATATGTAATAGCGGACATCACACCAGGAACACTAAATTAATAAGAAAAGAAATATTTTGTCTCAAACGTTTTGACCAAGGGGAAACATCGCACTTTTGTACTTTAAAGTACATAAAGTACGTAAAGTACAAAAGTACGATGTTTCTCCTTTGGATCATCCTCTTCGTTTGGAAGAATTTATTAAAAATATAATATCTCATAAAATGGCAATTCGCATAAATATTGTAGTTTTATTTTTCTGTGCCAATTATTGTATAAGAGTGACCTCTCATCGTCATTTGATCGTCTTTCGCTCCAAATTCTATTGGCAAATCATATCGCTTCATTGTTTCGACAGACAAGAAAGACATCATCAAGCGAATATTTCTTTTGTTCATATACAAAATCGTCTACTACTTTTGATTGATTTTTTTGTCTTTTTTTGACTCTGTAGATTCTTTTCAACATAATGAATCAAGAAAATAAACCACCATCAAACGATTTCGATCACGAAAGATTATCGTTTGTGACATTTCGAAAAAAAGTTTGTTTTATTCATTTAATTTTCTTTTTTTTTGTTTTACATAAATCTTTTGTTTATTATCTTAAACAGTTAGAAAATCATGATGAAGATCAATCATCAATTACACCTAAACGACCATTACTCTTTCGAGATCGTGGTGCAGATGTATTCATTGAAATTTCACCTCTATCGGATCGTAATTCACGTCCAACAGAAACAAAACGGAAATCATTACCAGTATCACCATTGACAACAGTTAAAAATGATCAATCACCAGTATCCTTCGTTGAAAATTGTATGTTTATTATAAGTCCTCCTCAACCAAATCGAACAACAATTATTGACGATGATGATGATAATTCATATGTACCAGCATATGTTCATAGAAAAGCTAAACCAGCACCATCAACTACTTGGAAATCATCTTTTTCAATTCATAAATCATCAAAAACAAATTTTGAAACTTCAACATCTACTCCAATTATTCCACAAAGTCAGTTGCTTTTTTTTCCTGCTTTTGAGAAAAATAATAATATTTGAATTTTACAGGTCAAATAGTTTCATTTCAACCAGCTATTCGACCACGTGTACCATTCAATTTAACATCAACAAATACTATTGATAAACAAGCACATGCTTATACAATATGGTTTAATAGTCTTTTTACACCAGTTGATTTTATGAATAATCCAACAACAACAACAACTAATCAATCAATATCTAATGAAATATCAACAACAAAAACATTAAAATCATTAGCTGAATCAAATCGTTGGTATATATTACGTGATCGTGCTCGTGAATTATTTACACATGATATACAATCAATAGCAACAAAAATTAGTGCCGATATTGATATTGATCATTGTCGAATAAATCCAAAAAATGATTTAAATTTTTCAGCACGTACAGTTAGTCGACAATCATTATTAAATTTTATATCATCATATAATCGTATATGGTTTCGTCTTGGGATGGAAGTTTTATTTCCAATAAATATTGAAAATTATCAACAAATGAAATTATCTATTGAACAATATCTTATACAATCAAATTTACATACATCACCATCAAATGATATTAATTTTAAAAAATCTAATCATAATAATACTAAAATAGCATCACAACAAATACGTTTAACAATTAAAAATTTAATATTAATTATTATATTTCTTGAACGTGCAAAATTATTACGTTTAATTGATAATGATCCATGTTTATATATACGTGAATCAAAATTTAAATCAACAAAAGAATCTATTGATATATTATCACGTGATTTTATTAGTTCAGATACAAATCTTATACGTCGTCTTAAATTAGCTGGTTTTGAACCAATTTATCGACAAACATCATTAGATGAATATAATTATTTAATAACAAATTATGATAATAAATTATTTGATGATTTAAAAGATGGTATACGTTTAACACGTTGTACACAAATATTATTATCATCAACAAATGAACAAGTTGCAAAATTTGATTTATCAACAAAATTAAAATGTCCTGTTGTTAATCTTGTTCATAAATTACTTAATATTGATCAAGCATTTGAATTATTACAAACATATGGACATGTTAATTTAAATGGAATGTAAGTTAATAGAAAAATTAACTTCATAATTAAAATATATATCGAAATTAAATATTCTTCAACGAGCATAGGCCTCTACAGAACTTTGATTGTGAATAGTTCATCTAGATATACATACAACTGAACAGACCAATCATATTGAAAAAAGGTCAAAATTTTTATTTTTGCAATATTTTGACCGAGACTTAGCTAAGTCATCCATAAAGAGTGTTCAGATAGAAATCGTATTTTTTTGGGCTCTTCTTCACCGATGGCTAGTTTTTACTGATAATCCATGGACGGCATAGGATATCTGATAAGTTGACAATACCAATTAGAAGCAAAGTGAGAATGAGAAATATCAATTACTTTGTTAATTACGAAAAATTTGTAACAATATAAAATTTTCGAGAGATAAATTCTTGGCTACTGCAATCGATTCTCTCTATTGTCATTTATCTCATAAATAGAAATTCTTTTCAAATTTTCATTGATTATGATTTACATCAATCTATATTTTATTGTTTGAAGAAAAAAACAAAATATCCAGCACGCAATGGGGCATAGTACTCGACAAGACAATTTATTAAAACATTGTTTAGTTAACAGTGAATCATAGGAGTATCATTCAGTAGTCCTATTGAGCACAACGAAATGTATCAGTTTTTTTTTTATAGGATTTCTGGTTTTTTAGAGAAGTTAATGAGAGAGATCTGAGTCTTCAAATGATTCTCCATCAAATAAATTTTATATTTTTACTTTAGTTCAAATAAAGATATTATGAATGGTAATAAACAACGTACACTTGAATTACTCTGGCGTATATTTACTGTTTGTTATTTACCTAAACATTTATCACCAATTGAAAAATTACATAATGAAATATCTATTTTAACTGAAAATTTATCTAAATATAATTGTCGTTTAATTGAACAACAACTTCTAACAACAGATATAATTCTATTACAAAAACAACATATTGAATATACACCATTAATATATTTATTAATTAAATGGGTACAACTTATATGTGCACATTATAAATTTTGGTTATATGATTTACAAGAATCATTTATTGATGGTCGTGCATTTCTTTATATTATTTCATATTATTTACCATCATTATGTGATTATTCACATGATATAAAACATTTAACAACATTAGCAACATGTCAAACACGTGATGAACATATTCAATTTAATTTAGAACTTGGACAACAACAACAATTAATAAATACATATGAACGTAATGTTAAATTTAATTTTCGTTTATTAGAAGAATGTATTAAACAATTTGGTACATTTTCAAATGAACTTATTAAATATGAATATTATAGTAAAGATATACCTGATGAACGTTATACAATAATTGTATTATCAATGCTTGCACATGATTTAATTTATACAAATAATATACAAAATGATAATAATTTTCGTCATCAAAATATATTTGAAGAATTAAAAATAAAATATTCAAAAGATGATGATGATGAATCAATAATTGAAATAAAAAAAGATGAAATAAATCAACAAGATAATTTAATTAATTCTTCATATCAAACAGAAAATCTTTCTCAAATAATAGATACAAATTCTATTTATGATGAAATACTAATATCAACAACAAAAATTATTGAAGATAAATCACTTAAATCATCAATATCTTCTACAACAATTAATTTTCCAATTGAAGAATCATTAATAAAAATTCATTCATTACCTATAATTCAATCCGAACAAATAATAACAGATGAAGATGAAGATAATACTGATGAAGATACAACAAGAATAACAATACTTTCATCATTATCACCAGTAAAACAAGATTGGTCTTTTGTTGAACCACCAGCTGTTGTTTATGATCAGACATTATCTGATTCTTTATATGCATCACTTGAAACAATGTTTACTTGTCAAACACCACCACGAATACAATCATCATCACTTATTCAATCAATAAATAATGATATTCTTGATCATCTTGAAACATTACCAGAAATAAATGATGAAAATAATATTGAAACTGAAACTGAAGATGAAGATTCATTTAATTCAGCACGTTCAGGTTCAACAACAATAGATCCACGTCGTACATCAATTATAGCACAAACAACTATACAATCATTTCATGATTTTGTTGAATTAGAAAAAACAATTGAAAATAATGAAATAAAAATTCATTCTGATAATACATCTTTATTACTTATTGATGAAAAAACACCATCTGAAGCTGATAGTATTGAAATCAATAAAATAGATGATGTAAATAGAATAAAATAAAATAAAATTTTTATTTTTATTTTTACTTTTATTTTTGTATAGACTTCATTTGCTGATCCAATTAATACAAAAATGATTAAAGAAACATTAACATTATTTTTAGCACATCAACAACAAACACTTGAACATGAAGAATCATTTTCATATAACAATGAATCTCTTGGACAAACACAAAATGAACAACAATCTGAACTTATAGTCAAATCAGAAGCTGAACGTGAATTACATGCAATACAAATTGTTCAGGTATTTTAATTAATCGTAATCGGAAATTTTTATAGAGAACTATATAGATATATTACTTAGATATTGAAATATGATTTTATTCTTTTAGGCTTATTGGCGTGGTCATCAAGTTCGTATTGAAAATCAACGTAATAATCATCCAATAGTTGCTATTCTTGAAAAAATTCGTACATATAATCCAACAAATAGTTCATCATTAACATTACGTGAACGTATGATGCAAATTGTACAAGAATATTCTGAAACATCATCATCATCTCTTACTGCTTATTTACATTTTCTACGTGATGTTGAACCTATTGTTGCATGTTGTCTTGAAATACGTTATTTAATAGCTCAACAAGGTTTATTACGTTTATTTTTTATATTAATGAGATGTTGTAATCGAAGTGGACCATCAGCTGTTCTACTTAGTAAAGTCTTAAGTATTTTACAATTATTTACTGTTAAACGTAGTCTTATTATGTCATTAATTGATAAACAAGAACAAATAAAAGATTTTATTATGCTTTTACTTAAATATTATCAAAAACATCGTAGTGAATTATTTGAACAAATTTGTTCATTACTTGAATCTATTGTCAATGATGAATATGCACGAAAAGTAAAATTATCTTTTATATTTTTCACTTTCGATATTTTTATTTAATTGTTCTTGTTCTTTTTTTATTTTGAATAGATGTTACGATCAAATAAATTATTTACCGATGCTATTGAATATGTTTATAAACGTGTATTTAATAAAGCATCAGCTGAAGATGAAAAATATCGACAACAAATACGATCAACACCTAAACAATCAACTGGTCCACAAACACGTCGAGCAACTTTATTAAATCAATCATCAATTCTTTATCCGACTCCTAAAATGATACGTCCATCAATTGTTCAAAATGAAAATATATTTAAAAAGAATCTTATTTCCATGGAAAAATTTATGAAAATATTTTATCATGATTAATTCAATCTCTTTCTTTTTCTCTCTGTATGAATTATGTGTATGTGTTTATATATATATATATTGTAGAAGTTATGACATTAATTTTTCTTCGTTCTTATTTGTATCGAAGTAGACAAAAAAAACAAAAACAATAGACAATCAGATATTTTTGATATTCAATAAAACAATCTTTTTTTTTTTCAATAATAACAATTGATTATTTAATACAGAAATTATTGTAATGAATTAAGGGAATAAGATTTTCTAATGAATAATAGAGAAGTCTAGACTGATTTGGTTGTTCGAATCTTTATCCTTCAGATATCGAAGTTTTACTGGCTTTTTTAACAAAAAGCTGTGGTATCCCTCAGGTCATGTAAAAACATCGACTGTCAAGTTTTGACTTCAAACTTTGCACGAATAAAGTTCAATACTAGAAAAGTTACAACTTGTTCAATGAATTGATCTCATTGAGAACTTTGTTCGTGCAAAATTTGAAGTCGAAAGTCGATTTTTCACGTGACTTGAAGGAGACCATGGCTTTTTGTTGCAACACCCAGTAGAATTTCGATATCTTAAAAACGAAGATCCTGAAAATAAAACTATTCTAGACTTCTCTATTACTCACTAGTACTCATCAAATAAACATAATCTTGGTAGAATAGTGATTTGACAAATGGAAAGTTTCAATCATCAGTATATTAGAATAGTAAATACTTATCGAAATGAATGATAGTTTCTTCACATCTAGAATTTTTCAAAAAAATTCATGTGAACAATTATTCATGTTGAATTATTTCTCTAATAGAAATCTAGCAAATCATATTAAGATCCTCAATCAATGAAAATGATTCGAAGAATCGATTATGATTATTCAATTTATTTATCTTAATCTGGGGATATTTCAGGATGTCTTGTGAATTTTACTGAAACATTCTATTCAAAAGGTTGCTTCTTTTTCAACCATAAACTTACGGAATGGATGACTTTGCAATCATATCTATGTCAAAAAAAGGAAAAGCAGTCACACGACTTTCGTATAACACTTTAGATTAGAACAATGATTAATATGGTAACACCACATTGCGAAGAAGAAAGAATTCTCTAACAGACAACTAATTATTTTCATTTTTTGATTAATCTTATGAATAATACTTTTATAAATGATGTTTGATTTTATCTTTTGTATATTCACATTTACTGAAATATTGTCTATAATACAGAGAAAGAAAACGAGCAGACTTATTTTAAGGATTCAATTCTCATATCAAATTATAATTGTATAAGAGTTAGTGATCTGTCATATCACAGAAAAATGAAAGACAAATAGAAAACAGGAGAACGACCGTTTATACTTTTTGACCACGTGTGCGTCATAAATAAGTCAGAGAGAAACACTTGAAACATATAATATATTACATTATGTACTCCAAGTATTTCATTCTAGCATGAACATGACGCACATGTAATCAAAAAGCATCAACAGTCGTTCTATGATTTTTATTTGTTTTTCTTTCTACTATGATATCATAAGTGATCAAGTCTGATAGATACAATTATTATTTAACGTTGTGAGTATTAGCAGATTCATGAATTTGAAATTACTACAGGAAATCAGCTATTATTCGTGATGACCATATTAACATTAACTGTAGATCTACTTACATGACAGAAAATATATGTATATCAAAAATGAAAAACAAAATTTTATTTTTTTACAACATGATTTAAACTGTATGGTAGAAATGAAAATTTATAAATAGGGATGCTTCTCTAGTTTTCTTAGTCTCATTGAAATCTATTTAAAGCCAAAAACTTGAAACCAGTTGAGATGGTTCCCTCGTTAATGATGTTTCACATTTCGATGAGTAAAACTTCTCGATGATATAATTTTACTCGTCGATTATTTCTCATCATTGTATGTTATGATCTATACTTGGTTATAGATGTCGCATAAGAATTCTTCTTATTGATAAGATAACTATTACTTTATTTTTTCTTTCTGTCTGGGTTTTTTTAATTTATTATACTGGAAATTTTCCCTGTTCTCCTTTTTATATTATAAGACGGTTTTCTTGTTCATAATCTATAAGATTGTTTTGTGTAATGTGTTTTCATTTAGATCTTCAGTTTCTGCTGCATACAGGTAAAAGTTTGCTTAGGACTTGACAATAATTTTGTTTATAATTGTATAAATAAATTTTTTTTGTATTGAAAAAGAGAGCTGTATTTTTCATAGTTAAAATGAATTTTTGTTAATATGCTAATATAGCATAATCTGATCATTCAGATTGAAAAAAGTATAAATTTTCTACAAGCAAAACTTAAGAAATTCAAAGTTACTATCAATTAGAGAAAAATTATCTCCCGTCGTTTTTAATATATTCGTATGCATGTTTATTATATCGAAAGTTTTTACTATTTCATAGAGAATGATATTCGTTCTATTAGAACAAAATCTAAAATGCAAATTCATTCATTCGCATTATTTATTAGAATTTCAATTTCATTCATAGTATTTGAAATTAAGTAGTAAGTGAATTCTTTTCGCTATACTACTATTAATCAATGATACTAAAGATATAGCCGTTAAGATTACGAATAATTGATTGGACATATAAAATAGTATGAACAAATAAATACATGAATTAGTTTTTTCTTTATAGTACTGTAAGAAAGTACTTTAATTACTACAGTATAACTTCACTGTTGATCACAAGTCTCTCAAATAAATTATCTATTTTATTTTTAATTATAGAATAATTTTGTGTATGAATGTGTAATATTGGTGTAAATACTGAACAGTGACTTAACGAAACAAGATCCATTCAACAGGCATTGATTACACTAGCATTGGTGCTCGCTGAAGCACTAACATTCGCGTTCACGACAACATTAAGACACCAACTCTATCAAAATAGACTCTTTTTGTAGGAATGTATTCTAATGCTTCAGTGAACACTGGTATCAGTGTGCACTAATGAGGGAACACCCTTAACTGCCCTATCGCTATTTGTTTGAGACTATTGTCATTTGATTGGTCATGATGAGTAATAAAAAGTCTGTTTTAGTTTGGTTTTCCAGTTTTCAGTTGTCGAATTGTGGACGTTTTGCTCGATTTTTGTTCAATGAGAATAGAGTCCCAGAGAACCTGGTTGATCGAATTTCACGCTGAAGTTTTGTCCATAGAGAAACCTTAGTGTTACTAGGAATATCTAAAATTTTTAGCTAGAGTGAACATATCTTTGCTAAGATATTCATATTTTAAAGAGACATCTGTTTTGAGCGGCGTCTCCACACAAAGACGTTTGTTCTAGCTCACACTTGAGGATATTTCTAGTGACTATAAGACTATCTATGGATTAAAGTTTAACTCGAAATTCGATGAACTAGATTCTCAGCAATTCTATGTTCCTAGGGAGACAATTAAGTAAAACACCTATAACTGGACAAACAAAGATCAGAATACCAAACTAAAACACGTGTTAGAAATGTTCCCTCGTGAGTCGATGGCGAATAAACTAAAACTGTACATCCCTAATTTTGCCTTTAACAATGGACCATTTGAAATTATATTTACAATAAAATAAAGTAATACAATCATTTAAAAATATTCACTCGTTAGTATTATTTTTCTTCCTATGGACTATTTGTATCAATAGAAAATCATTACATTTGTTGGTTGATTTCAGATTCTATATCTTTTTCTTTTTAAATTTGATTATTATTTTAATATGGGAATTCCTGGATTTTTTAAATGGTTAACAAATAAAGATAATTATCCAAATATAAAAAGATTTTGCATCGAAGATGAACCATCATATGGTAATTATTTACATTTCGTATTTTTTTTAAAATTTAAATTATCTTTTATATTACATTTAAGATGAACATGGTGTTTATCAACCATTAGATGAAACAAAGAAAAATCCAAATAATATTGAAGTATATTTTAAAAAAAAACATTGATGAATTTTATTTCTTGATTCGAATATTTAGTTTTATTCTAGTTCGATAATCTATACTTAGATATGAATGAAATTATTTATTCAGCTGTAAGATCAAATAATGGTTCAGAAATAAAGACTGAAGATGAAATTATCCTATTAATTTTTAATTATATTGATCGAATATTTTCAATTGTTCGACCACGTAAATTACTCTATATAGCTATGGATGGTGTTGCACCAAGAGCTAAATTACATAATCAACGTACAAAACGTTTTCTTCAAGTTAAAGATACTATTGAAAAAACAAAACAAATCGAACGAATTAAACGTGAAATACTTGCTAATGGTGGTCTTTTACCTAAAGATAATCATCAAAAAGAACAAATAAAACTTTTCGATGAAAATTGTATTACACCAGGTACACCATTTATGTCAAAATTATCCGATTGTCTTCTATATTATATATATAATCGTATGAATAGAAATCTAGCTTGGCAATCAATAATAGTTATTTTTTCTAATGCAAATGAACCTGGTGAAGGTGAACATAAAATAATAAATTTTATACGTCAACAACTTACACAGTTAGATTATAATAAAAATATACATCATGTTTTATATGGTACTGATGCTGATTTAATTATACTTGGTTTAACATTAGATGAATGTCATATAACAATAATACGTAATGAATTTAAACCAAGTCAACCACGTCCATGTGAAATATGTCAACAATTTGGTCATGATATAATAACATGTAAAGGTATTACTACTAAAGAAAAATATGATCAACAATTAAATTCTATTAAAACAAAATATATATTTGTTGATCTTTCATTATTACGTGATGAACTTTATCAATCTTTAGAAATAGATAAACAATTATTATTTAAATGGGATCATAAACGTTTTCTTAATGATTGGATATTTATATGTATATTAGTTGGAAATGATTTCTTACCAAATTTATCATCATGTGAAATACATGAAGATATTATTAAACTTCTTATAAATATATATAAAGAAAATGTATTGAAATCAAATTATTATTTAACAGAAAATGGTATATTAAATTTGGCAAATGTTGAAATATTTTTAAAAGATTTCAGTAAAATGGAAGAAAAAATATTTAAGAATCGACATGAAATTAATCAACAGAAAGAACAACAACAAAATCTAAATCAATCAATTTATAATCGAATATTTTCAATAGATAAATTCAAGTATGTATGTATGTATGTATGTGTGCATTTTCTCATTTTTAATATGAATTATTCAAATAATTATGCCCGACTCAATGTCAAACTAGGAATTGTATCCCTTCTGTAAAAATTGAATTTTACTATGCTCTCTAATTTCCATGTAAATAAAAAATCATTATTGAACTAAGTAAAAATTATCATATTTTTCTTTATATTTAAAATAATATCGAAATAATTATGTTAATTAATAATATTAAATGAATTGCTATTACTGTTCTTTTATAGACATGAACTTGTACCTAAAGGGGCACCACTTCCACCATTTAAACCAAAATGGGCACAAAAGAATTCTCCTACATTTGATAACAATTCGACATCAATTGTTATACATGCGAATCGAACACAAGATATTAATTCTTCAACAACAAGTTCATCAATTAATATTTTAACAAATCAATCATCTAGTGAAATGAAACAAAAACTATCTAATTTATCACTAATAACAAATCGACAAATAGAAGATAATACTTCAGATAATGATGTTCGACTTTGGGAAGACGATTGGCATAAACAATATTATACAAAGAAATTTGGTGTAGATCCAAAAGATATAGAAAAATTTTCTTTACAAATTGCTCAAGAATATGCTCAAGGTCTACGTTGGATTTTTCAATATTATTTTCAAGGTGTACCATCATGGGATTGGTATTTATTCAAATAATATAATATAAATAATTAATTTTATTATATTTTAGGTATTATCCTTATCATTATGCTCCATTTGTTTCTGATTTTTTTAAAATGAAAATTTTATCTTATAATTTTAATAAAGATTCAAAACCATTTAAACCATTAGAACAATTAATATCGATAATTCCATCACAATGTTCAAAAGAATATCTTCCTAATGAATGGTATTCATTAACAATAAAAAAAGATTCACAAATTATTGATTATTATCCATTAAATTTTAATACGGATTTAAATGGTAAACGTTTTGAATCACAACGTATTGCTCTAATACCATTTGTCGATGAAAAACGTTTACATAGAGTTCTTAAAAATTATTATTCATTATTAACAATCGAAGAACAAAAACGAAATAAATTTGAAAATTCTCGTTTATTTATTCACTCAAAACATTCATATTATAATCGTTTAAAAAAAGAATTCGATACTAATAATGGACAGAAAATAATACGTGAAAATCTATTTAATATAACAAAAACAATTGAAATATTTGGATATATTTGGCGAGATAGTAATGATGATAAAATTATATCTATTAGTAAAACAGTAAAACCTCCAATATCTAGTTATGATAATATAACAAACAATCAAGTTATGTGTGTTCAATATTGTTATTAAATATTCTCTTGTAAACAATAATAACAGAAAAATAATAAATATTTTTCCATATGAATAAAATCAGGACATGACTTTCTTCGATTTAATACTCTCAAAAATCGGTTTTCCAGAGATTTGATCTCCTCACAGAACAAGATTTTTTGTTTTGCAATCATCTTGCGATTTCCAACAAGGATTTGTATCATTCGGAATTAGCTTTACACTTCTCATTCGATTACAAGAAGATTTTTCGTTTCTATATCTGTATTCAGTCATGTCACTAACAATGAATAAACTCAAGTTTTTGAAAAACTACATAAAGATTTTTATTGCCTGAAGAGTTCTCTACCAAAGCTACTGTTTAGTTTCCAAAAATATTGTTTGAACTTGCAAGATTTGTAAATGGAAGCACATGCAATTCCTTTTTTGTGTTACATCACTAACATTGCTTTTTCAATTATAAATCAGCGGAACCAAGACTATAGATCTGAATTATTCAGAATATCTAGAATTACTCAATACATATTTGTTACATAAAAATTAACTAAAAAATAAATGCTTGAGTCCAGAGTATAAGTGTCTTTGTTTTGCGAAATCATGTCATTAATGAATGATATTGTCCATATGTAAATGAAGTAGATTTATGAGGTTAGAAAATTGTTAATATATTCTATACACTAGAATAGGAGACTATAAAAAATAGTTGATGATTTTCGAAGGATATTTTTAAAAATTCATCAATGATCACCATCAGTTTTATAATTCAAAACGTTTTATTGATAGCAACACTTTCGTTAAATTCTTTTCTTTTTTAAATAAATTCAATTTCATAGCCTTGAACCACTTAAATTGTACGTTAGACGTTACTTTCAAGGGTAAATAAATATTACATATTTACAATGAAGAAAAAAAAAACCGTTACAAATAAGATAGCAACATAATTTCTACATAAAGAGTGTATGTATTTATGTAGAACCAATACTTCCATTGAGAAGAGAACTTTCACAATATACTTAATTTCATTGAATTTACAAAACAATATGATGATCACGACAGTAAAACAAAAGAAAGAAACAGAAGATCTCTTTAAAAACACAACCACAAGAGTTTTAAACATGTCAGACAATGTTACTAAAAAAAACTATTCAGTAGTTCATAATTATTCAAAGAATAAAAATCAGAACGTCTTAGATAAGTAAAAAAAACATAAAATATATGATTAATGTTTACTGTAGCAACTGAACAAATGTGACTCAATGTTTATCGAGTAGTATAGATAAGCGAAGACGTGCTGTAAAAGAATACGTGCTCATGAGATTTTAAAATCGATACCATTTTTTACATTGTTTCAAGTAGTAGCGTAATAGAATAACTGTCGACTTTTCATGACCTTCAAAGAATTTCATGAACAATTTAATCAAACTTTTACTCTTCAGACAATTATTGATTTGCTATAAATATAAAATTTATTGGATGTTCTATCAAAGTTCTTTTTAATAACTAATTTTATCTACTCAAATTTATTATAAATAGACTTAACTTAGACACTGTATAGGAATATTTCCTATTTTATTGCTTATGATTCATCAGTGTATGATTAAATCAATCAATGAAGATCTGATGAAATAGATAAACCAAAAAACATATGACGGAACTATAATGAAATGTATCATCTTCATCTATTTCTTGACCTTATAACCATTCTATATTCATGTGATCGCTATGCTTGATTAATGTTCATTGTCTATCATTCCTATATAAGCGTCTGTTCTGTGTGAGAATGGAACGATTTGATGTAGAAGGAAGCCAAATAAAGCAAGTATCATTATCTTACAGGTACTTCACTTCTCAAGTTCGTCACAGAAATCTCTTCGGTTGTTCGCTTCTAATTTCAATAATTTTTTACCTATAGATATTACATAGTGTTCTAGTAAAAACTCTAAAAGGATTTGGATTCCTATTGAGATTTGACTAAGCTATCAAATTTTTAATATGTCGATAGTTCAGTTAAATCTCAATAGAAACTCAAATCGTTTTAGAATTTCTATTAGAATACTATGTAGTATCTATAGACAAAAAAAAAGAATCATTAAAAACGGAATGGGATAGTTGAAGTGGTTCCCTCGTTAGTCGACATCTAACGACATATAATGATTTAAACAGAAAAGGAAAGAACCAATATAAATATATATATATATATCATTTACTTTTGAATTCTACTATGAATTTATTTTTCTTCTCGAATAGGATCGTTTGATTTTATCGATTTTGAAAATTTCATTATCTGCTTATCAGTTTTCTTTGTGGGCATATCGACCAGCTGGTACATGTTCAGATATATGTATTCTTCAAAATGTTTCAACAAATCAAATTAAGTGTATTGTTAAATCGATTAATTGTTATATTTGTAGATATAATCTAAAATAATATTGATTAAAACAAAATCTTAATTATAAATTAATACTTAAAAATATATTCAGATAATGAGTGAAAATTCTAATAACAAAATGACAACATTTTCATCAACTCATTTATTTAGTAAACCTAAACGAAAAATACTTCCAACTGTACTTAATTTTATGGATGGTTCTCGTTTGATATCAAATACTTATAATAAATATAATAAATCATCAACTGATATATTTGATCTACTACGACGAGCTATAAATGAACGTCGACGTATTGAAGTGTTGACACGTGATTGTCGAGGTATCTATGGTATTCTTGTTGGATGGCTTATTATTTTTGATAAACATATGAATTTAATTATGTCTGATGTCGATGAAGTATTTCGACGATTAACTGATGGTCATGATTATCTTGAGTTAGGTCCAAAAAAACAAAATATACAATTAAGTAAATGTAAATGAGATTAGAAAAGAAGTTTTATTTATTTTTTTTTTTTTCAATCGATCTATTTTTTTTTTCAGCTGATACATCTATATCAAAGACAACAGAAATAACGAATGATTTTCAAACATTTCGAACTCAATTAGCAAATTTCTTACGGAATAAAAAAAAACAACCAATTATTGCTAAACCACCACAACAATCATTTATTGATGAAGATAATGATGAATATCAACAATCATATGAATGTCATCCGGAACAATTTTTATCAATGGAATTGTTGAGTATTAATAATTTAACTGTACAACGTCTTAGTAGTCAAACAAAACATGTTGATACATCATCATCATCATCACAAACATCAAAACGAGCTAAAGTTCGTTTTTTTTCTCGACATATTCCTAAATTATTTATAAAAGGCAATCAAGTGTGTCTTATTCGTCTTTTATCTTCTTAATAAATGATTTACATTTAAAAAATATTTTTTTATTATTATTTGAATCTAATTGTTCTTTTATATCCATTTAATAATACTGACAAAAAAAAAAAGCAATGTTCCATTTTTTTTTGTTCGATCATGTTAATGCTTCAACACTAACATATTGATAATCTGAATGAAGTATACTATGATAATAAATAACTAATTAAATTATTGCAACTATGCTCAAGAATATTATATATAAAAGTCAGAGTATTGTCAATAGAACTAGTAGTGGAGCCATAGGAAGCTAAGTTCCCCTGCTACGGACCTTGGATCCCTCCTGGCGAGATTTTTGCAGAAAAAACATCTTTCAAAAGTCGCGCTACAGGAATTAATTCTCCTCTAGCTCAAATTTCTAGTTCTACTACTACTGAATGGAATTGGAATAGTACTTCGAGATATGAGGCATTGACTATTGATTTTCTGTGATATGTTTTTTTTTCTTCAAAATACTGTATTCTCTGAATTATGGATTACTCTATCCGAGATTTTCATGAGTTAGAAATTAGCCAATTATGAAACATTTGAGAAGAAATATTCATTTATTATTTTGATAAAAAGTTTACAATTTTAGAATTCAATTGAAAATTAAAATTTATAATATATATATGTCAATAATGAAAAGTTCTTTACAGTTAATTTATGATGAATATTAAATGCTATTACTCTAATTTAATTACTTGATCTGTTTATAAGTTTTTATCAAAGATGAGATGATATTGATATTTTTTATATTCTATATATTGGATCACGCAATGTGTTAATATAGACTCATTGATTTATTTGATAAACTACAACAGGAATAGATATTATTTAGAGTAGTTCCGATACCGACTGTAAGACAGAAGAGAAAGAAATTACACAAAAGAGAACTAAATCGGAAGTATCTATATATATATAATGTTAAATAACTAATGGATTATATTGATTGTTTTAACATATCATAAACATAAAACATTGAAAAAAGTATCGAAGATCTATCTATAAGAATAAATAACTTTTTCTTCATAGATCTCTTATATATGATAAATCATGAAGAAGTAACAAATGGATCATTAATTGTGACATTTGCGATTATTGTTATGAATAACTATGATGATATTATTCTTTTAGAACGGAATCCATATGAATAGATAATACTAACAGAGATGAGGATGAAACGACACAACAAAAAAAAAAGAAGAGAAGGACAAATCAATATAGTAGATCATTTGATTGGTATTAAGAAAAGAATATATATATGGTTATCTCTTTTCTGACCTCGCCTATCATACTAGATGGCCTCTCTTTTCTTCATCTAATGCCAAATTTATCCATATATTTTTATCTATCTTTATACATAGAATTGTTGATGTTGGTTTTATTTTTTGTTGTTTCTTAGTTGATGTTCATAAGCAATACCGTATGTGTAGAGCTATTACAACATTTTTCTTTTTTTTTTTAGTGCATATATTCATATGGCTACGTAATCATATCAACACATTCATATACATACGTATATATATATATATATACATGTGAGAAAAAAGAGAGCAAAAGTATGTTATTTGAGCCATTATTGCGAACAAATGTTTTTTAGCCTGCTGGTCATTATCTTCGTTAATACTCATTTCTTCTAGCAGCAATAGAAAGAGATATGTTAAAGAGTATAGGCAATCAAGAGTACGAATAAATGCAAAAAGACAAACAACATGATGATACACAACAATGATAGATAGAGATATGTCTCAACTAGTATGTTTTTCGTTGTTTTTTCTTTTTTGTTTTCCTATATATCTATATATTTATTAATATTTCATATCCAAATAAGTAATGAAAGACTTGTTTCGTCTTTTTATTTCTTGCTATTCCACACATTTATGTTAAGTATGGTGTCTGTATACTGTTATATGATTTGTTCTTTTTTTTCTATTTTATGGTTGTCAGTTCCACATATCTTTAGTTAAAGACAAGCAATTAATATGTCTATTGCTACTTGCCTTTCTATGTCGATAAACTGGCATATTAATAGAACTATTATTTGTTGTTTTCCATAGATATAGACCCTATTACGTAGTTTGAACTACATATGTATTTCGATGATATTCTTTCTTTTTTTTTTTTTTTGCTCTCGAACTCTATCGTTGTTTGTACAACTCAGTTAGTTAATAATTTTCCTTCCTGTGTACTCGTGACAGTATTGCTAGCAGCCAAAGAAGAAAAAAAAAAAAGTTACGCATTTAGTTCTTTTATATTCAGTAAAAAAAAAAAGAAAAAAGAAGCAAAAGAGCAAATGCACATCGTCTTGGTGTCGTAATTCTCCATTGCTGGTCAATGGTCGTGTGAAGATAGACACTCGTCGTTTTTCTTCTTCATCATTTCCTTTCTCTCGTCGCACATTTTTTTTGTTCACAACTCTCCAATTATGCTATTGTTGACCTAGAAGAGAGCGTAGACCTATTGATGTTAACCACTAGTATAGAAACCGCCAGTTTTCTTTATCATGACCTACGTGTTTTTTTTTTCATATCAAGGCTACAATAATCTTATCATATGACGGCTTTTTAGAAGTGCTTCGTTTTTATTCTTCGCACACTATTAATTTGTTTATGAAATAGATATCACTTTGTTTTATTCTTCAAAAAAACAAAAAGAAAAAACAAAAATCAATAAGATATTCTCAAAACCTTACATGATCAGTAAGTAATTATCAATAGTTGAGAATCTATAATTGAATATTCAATTTAATCTTTTTGGAATTATTATTTAAAGTAAGAATTGTGTTATCTGATATGATTGATCATATCTAATCCTATATTCTCTACTGAACCGTTGATATAATATGTTATATCAATTTATATCCTTAATGAAACATTATAGGAACTGTTCATATCCCTCGAGCAAAATATATCTCTTCGTTTATGTAAGAAATCAAAGAATAGAATAAGAAATCAAATAGATACATAGGATATGCAATTGAAAGAATAAAATGTAGGTAGAATTGTTTCATATTATTTCATGTAATACGTTAATTGAATTTGAACACAAACACATTTGCTCTTATCGTTTTTTTGTTTGTTCTTGAAAAACTTGTTCTCAACTTCATGATGCTCTCAACATTCGCTTCATTTCTCTCTCTCTCTCTCTCTCTGTCTGTCTCCATTTTTTTTTTTCATTCGTTGAATTACGTATTTTGAAAAACAACATTACGTAGATACGAAATACATTTGATCGTAACTATGATTAGTAGCCATCGTTACTAGTTATCAATCGCATGGATATAAATTATGTGTACGACTCTTTATATTTTTTTTTCCGAATTATACCGTTTTATTCAGATATCAAAATGTGAAAAGTAATTTTTTTGGCATATTTGATTTTGATAAATTATGTCGATACTCAATGTCGATGTTATTATTGATCATTGACGTACTTATTACTTTTTATTCAGGTAAATAACGTTCGATAAGATCAAATACATTCTATATTTAACCTGTTTTTTTTTGTGTACTAACAGCTAATGTGATTTGTTTACTATTATCGTCACCATCAAAGAAAATAATCGATAGTCAAATAGGTGATGACAATATTTTGGATTGTCCTATAAATCGAAATAAATGGACAATCCCTTCAATTCTTCAATGGTATCGTCCAATAAATAATTATTCAATACCAATAGCTAGTCAATTTAATGATTATCCTGTTCATATTGATGATTTATATATAAATAGATATAGTCTTCTATTAAATGGATCTTTAAAAATTGTAAATATTCAATTAAATGATAATGATACATTTGAATGTCGATTGATTTTAATTGATCGTGGTTTACTTGATATAAAAGAAAAATATTTTATAATACATCGTGTTAATGGTATAAATTTATAAAAGATCATTTTATTTCTTTTTTTTTTTAAAGAATGAATCTTTTCATTTCTTCTTTTTTTTTTGTTTTTTAATTTTTTAGAACAACCACGTTTTATCAATCATTCTAATCCAATAGAAATTGCTATACCATATTCAACAGTAAATTTTACTTGTCAAATCTATGGTGTCCCAAATCCAATAGTTACATGGTATAAAGTTATTGAACAAAGCGAACAAACAATTGATGATGAAAACTTACAATTACTTTTAGTCAATAGTCAAGAGTATGCATATTCTATTTCTTTAGTATATTTATATTTATTTAAAGGGCTATTTTACTTTTTTTTATCCGGTAAAGTTTTACTCTTCATAATGTGAATGACAGTATGGCAGGTAAATATAGATGTGTAGGAAAAAATCGACTTGGCTCAATACAAAATGAATTTCAACTTCTTATTCGTGGTACGTTAAAAAAAAAAGAAAACATATTTTTGTTTTTTTGTTATGTATATTTTGATTTCTTTATAACACAAAAAAAAAGGATCTATTTATTGGCGACATTTTCCTTCAAGTCAAACAGTTAAAATCAATGATAGTATTACCTTGAAATGTGAAGGCCAAAGTAGTGAACCATTACAATATCAGTGGTAAAAGAAGAAAAAAAAAACGAAAAAAGAAAAATAAACTATGATCATTTTAATAATTAGGTTGAAAAATGAAATTTTAATATCAGATACAATTTTATCACAAGATCGTATACGTACATTTAGTGATGGTATTCTTAATATTAATAATATTGAACCTTCTGATTATGGATCATATATATGTAAAATTAGTATATTCAATTCAACAAGTATTCGTAGTAAACCAGCTGTTATTATTGTTAAATGTAAGTTTATAATTAGTTCTTTTTTTATGTGTTAATGTATGAAATAAAAAAAATGAATAATTAAGATCCGCCAATTCCGTCACGTAATCGTCAAACAAATAATTTAACATTAATTCAAGGTTCATTAGGTATATGTCCATGCTTACTTGATGCATATCCACCTATTCAATCAGTTTCTTGGTATCGAAATCAAGAACCTGTTCGTATTGAATCGAAAGGTGACCGATGAAAAAACAAAAAT